GTTCCCGGTGCCCAGCCGGCACAGCGCAGCGGCCATGAACACAATGAACAGCGGCCGCATCTCTTCCCTCGTGCGACCCTTCTCATCCGCACTTCTGGAGGTATAGGCCACGCCCCACATTTCGTGACATCACGCCGTGCCTGGCCCGGTCTCAGGTTAGGGGCGGGGACTCAATGCTGGCGGCCGCACTCCGATACAGCGGTGCCCATGTGGGCGCTGCGTTCCGGGCGCTGATTGGACAGAAGGTTCTCTTCCTGCCGACAGCCCCGGGGATCAGGACACGTAGGAGAATCATCATAGGGACGAACAGATCATCCGCTGCACCAGAGATGATATCAGTGCAGGGGTCGTACTGGGAGCTGCTATCCTCCCCTCCCTATCATTAATAAGGAGGCTTTTCTTGTCTGCAGTTATAATCCAGAGCCATAGAAACACTTCTGTATTCTTATATGAGATGCAGCTTGCATAATGAGATGAGCATCCCTTCTAACTTTCTGGGGTGAGAAAGAGGGACACCTTCCAGCACATGGGGGGAATTCAATAAAGGACTAGCACCACTTCAGAAAGCCCAGTTGCCAGTTTCAGTAGCTTTACTGACACTTTCAGGTGGTTCCTAAAAGTGCCACTTTAAGAATTAGTCACTATGGCTGCGACATTTAAAAAGAATTACTGCCAGATTAGAGATGAGAAAACTGGTGGTGATTATGGCCAAGTCCGACCGAGAGCACAGAGAGAGCACTGGGATCAAAGACCATATTCATAATATAAAAAGGGGCTATAAAGACCATTCAGTCTCCAAACATTTTCAAGATGTCCACCATAAAGATCCTACTAACTTACAGTTTTGGGGCATAGAAAAATAGTTAAACACTGGAGGGGAGGTAATTGGAAGAGAGAACTCGCAAAATAAGAATCTTTATGAATATTTAAGGCTGGGTCAATGAAACCATCTTGTCTTAATGTTGAATTTTATCTCAATTGTTTTATTTCTAATGCTTGAGGGTTATTATCATGTTTATATACCATATTTGCTGGCGTATAAGGCGACTGGGTGTATAAGACGACCCCCTAATTTTCCACTTAAAACATAGGTTTTGGGCTATACTCGTCATATAAGACTACCCCACTTCCGAGGCAACACCATTTAAAAACATCATGGATGGATGTGCGGTAATACTGTATGTACGGTAGCTTCATACAGTATACCGCGCTGAGCCAATCATGTTGAGCAATGTATTCTATTAATGAATACAAAGCTTGCTTGGATTGGCAGAGGTTGTGTACATCGCTCGCCGTGATTGGCTCAGCTACTGTATGATTAGGGATGGTCGTTTTGGGCCAGCTTGGCCTAAACGAACTAAAGGTATACATTGTATACCCTGCGTATAAGACAACCCCCGATTTTCAGGGGATGTTTTTAAGTATAAAAAGTAGTCTTATACGCCAGCAAATACAGTATTTCTTTATTGTATTTGATGATTTTATTATTGAGATTACGTGCCTCCCCCTGCTTCCGAGCCTCCAGCTTTATAGACCGCTATTGTTCCGACTCGATCTGGTCATTTATGTGCACGGCCGTTCTAAATTGGGCTTTTTTCATTGGGCATTTAATTAAGGTGGTGGGTCCCTTTTTATTTAAATTTGAGATCAAGACGTCAGTGACTCCACACCCCTAATTAAGTCACGTGAGATGTAACGTGCGTAGGGTGGGCGGAGCTACTGACGTCACTATTCTGATCCGGACGGGAGGGTGTCCTCGTTCGCTGATATCTGTGCTGGACTTTTTACTGTATTTATCCCCGCTGTTTTACTCATTTGAATCCCATGTAAGTACGTTTTTTTAGAGATTCAAGTTTTAAGTTGTTGGACGATACGCACAATGTGATTGTTGCTAGTCTCTTTTTGGATGGATGTTACCATGAGTTGGTCTGGAGTCAATGCCTAAAGATGGCCATACACCTTACAATTATCTGCAGATTTTCTGTATCGCTGAGCTCCTCCATGTCTCTTATGAGTTTAGTCGCCTTTCCCTGCACTTTCTCCAGTTCCACAACATCCTTTTTGTAAACTGGTGCACAAAACTGAACTGCATATTCCAGATGAGGTCTTACTAATGCTTTGTACAGGGGCAGGATTATGTCTCTATCTCTGGAGTCTATACCCCTTTTAATACAAGAAAGTATTTTGCTCGCTTTAGAAACTGCAGCTTGACATTGCATGCTGTTATTGTGTCTATGATCTACCAGAACACCCAAATCTTTCTCCATCATTGACTCCCCCAAACATACTCCCCCTAGAGTATAGGACGCATGCAGGTTTTTAGTCCCCAAGTGCAGAACTTTACATTTATCAACATTAAACCTCATTTGCCAAATAGATACCCAATCACACTGTGCATTCAGATCTGCTTGTAAGTTAGAGACATCCTGTAGGGACTGTATTCCACTACATAACTTGGTGTCATCTGCAAACACAGAAATAGTACTTTTAATCCCCAATTCTATGTCATTTATAAATAGTTTAAACAGTAAGGGGCCCAACACTGAACCTTGGGGAACACCACTAAAAACCTCAAACCATTCAGAGTAGCAATCATTTATCACCACTCTCTGAATACGGTCTTTAAGCCAATTTTCTACCCAATTACAGATGGAATGCTCGATACCTACTGACCTTAACTTATACATTAGCCGCATGTGGGGAACTGTGTCAAACGCTTTTGCAAAGTCCAAGTATACTATATCCACAGCCATTCCTCTGTCTAATTTATTAATCACTTCCTCAAAAAAAAAAAAAGACCGTTTGTTTGACAACTTCTTTCTTTTGTGAATCAGTGCTGACTATCACTGATGATATTATTTTCAAGCAGAAACAATTGCATGTGATCCTTGATCAAACTTTCAAGTGTCTTCCCAACTATTGAAGTTAAACTTACAGGTCTGTAACTACTTGGTAAAGACTTTGATCCCTTTTTAAATATAGGCACCACATTGGTTTTGCGCCAATCCATCTTTACCAAGCCAGTCATTAGAGAGTTTCTAAAAATTAAATACAATGGCTTTGAAATTACACAGCTCAATTCTTTGAGGACACGTGGGTGTAGGGAGAAAGTTTTTTTTTTTTTTCTGATTTACGACCGCATGCGGCTCTGATGTCAGAAAAAAAAACAGCGGAGCAGACCTTTCCCGGGGCCGCAAGACGACACCCGGCATATAGTCATTCGACCCCCGACGGGGTCGCGACCCCCACGTTGAGAACCGCTGGTGTAAGCCATCTGGACCAGGTGCTTTGTTCACCTTAATTTTGTCTAACTGTTTCTGGACCATATCAATAGTCAACCATTGTGGTTCAGTAGAGGCTATGGCACTACTATCCCCATTATGGACTTGAGTTACATCCTGTTCCTTGGTGTGCACAGAGCTGAAGAAAGTATTTAATAGATTTGCCTTCTCTTTGTCCCCAGTTACCACAGGTCGGCTCAGTAGATCGGGAAGTGAGCGAACACATACCGGCGTTGGCTCACTTCTTGATCCTGTCTCGGCAGAGAGCTGCGACAGGGGAGGGACTGGATTCCCCCCTCCCCACTCCGAACCTCCAGCGCTGACTGGCGGAACGGACGGGGGAGGGTACAGCTGGCTCTGCCTCTAGATAGGCAGAGCCAGCTGTCACTCACGCAGCTGGGCGGATCCAGACATAATTGTCGGGATCCGTTTCAGCTGCGGCGTCTCAGTATACCGCGAGCTGTAGCTCGCGGTATACTGAGCTTAGGGTGACGGGAGGACGCTAGTTTGTGTCCTCCCATTACCCTTAGGAGAACTATGGGGAAAAGCCCTAACCCCATAGTTCTCCTTTAAAGGGTGTCCCTACCCACCAAGAAGGGAAAAGTGTTTTATGACCTGTATTGGTCATTAAGCCGGGTGAGCACCCACCTGTATATCACCATTCATTACTTGTGAATTGGAGCATTTATTTGGTGTGCGGTCTGCAAGATTTTTCTGGCAGAAGATCACTAGTATTATCACTTTCACCATTTTTTTTGCAGTTTAATATATAATTTTTGGAATCACACTTGGACTTTCACTTCTATGAGACTTTACTGCACAGAAGTTGTATGTTCTATGATTATCTTTTGTTTGTTATATGAGATTGTTCATTCAATGTTTTTTGATTGATAATCAGCTTGGCACACTATTTATTTGATATTACAACAGTATCATTTTTCAAACACGCTGTACCTTTTATCTTTGAAAAGCAGTCCTTGAGCTCCAGGAAAGAAACTTTGCCTAGGCTGAGATTATGTCATCAGTGTGCTGCAGGCCGGAAGAGGCATTTCCTCGGTCTCCACTAGGGATTAGACTGTAACATTGTATCTTTGTAGCAATTGCAAAGCAAGAGGCCGTAGCAGGCGCTGATCTGTGTCAGACATTTGTAAAAACATCCAATAACTGCATAGACATATACATGCTTGTGGCATAACTGAGCCAGCATTCTGGCCCAGCAATTAGATACTGACCGTGCACAATACCCGAGTTGAGATGTTTCCAGCCTTCTGGAAAGAAAAACGCATGAAGATATGTAACACACATTACTTAGCATGCATAAACAAAGTCTGTATCAAGCCAAAAACTTGTTTTCTAGTTTTGGATAGAGCATGGAAGGGTTAGGACTGTATTTCCAGCTATCTGCGGCATCTGTTAGAGATGCACTATTGCATCTCTAACATCTCTGGTCTGAAACGCACCAAAACGCATGCAAACACACTAGAAAGTCAATTGAGACAAAAAAGCACACCGGGACGCAGTATAAACGTGTAAAAAAAACATGACCACGTTTGCAGAAATGCATTCAGATCTGGTGTGGCGATGGTATGAACAAGCCCATAAAGAAGTAGTATTGCCAGAAGTTCAAATTGTCTTTTATATCCCCCAGGGGACCCAGTGGACATCACATTTGGTCCCATTCAAATCCGTAGTTTCTAAGCAGTGTGCAGCAGCAGCAGCAGTTCACTACCCAGTGCTATCCAACCACTCTGATAGCAAGGAGAGATGATTTAGAATTAGTGCTGACTGACAGTACACAGAAAAGAGGGGCCATAACAGACAATACACACAGAGCTTGCACAGTCTCTGCCTCCTCT